CCACATAGAGTTAAGTAAGTTCCACATAGAGTTAAGTAAGTTCCACATAGAGTTAAGTAAGTTCCACATAGAGTTAAGTAAGTTCCACATAGAGTAAAAGCCACTTACAATTGTCCCACAGCTTGCTGATGCTGTGTTCATTTTTCCTATCTTTTCTGTTTCATTTAAAATAGTTTCTATTACTGGGTCTTCTAAAATACACTTTTCATTTCTTTAAAGTCCAATATTGGTCTTTGGTATATCTTTCCTATTTCTACTTACCATTCTCGTATGGAATACAGTTAACCAATCCCTGTTTTAGTGTTCTTGTCTATAGATGCTCTCTTCTGTGCCATTTTTGGATCTGATTCGGATCGATTTCTCTCATTATGGTTCTTATTTTCTTGCCTCTTCACATGTCTGGTAATTTTTAATTGGGAGACTGGATTATTTTTATATTGCCATGTCCCGGTGTGGTGCTATAGGATAAGCACTGAACTGCTAACCACAAGATCTGCTATTCAAACCCACCAGTTGCTCCTCAGAACACCAATATAGGGTGGCAGTGAGTGGAACTGCCTAGATGGCACTTAACGACAACAACAAGTGTGACTGAGTTTTGTCCAAGACACAGTTACCTAACTATGTCATTCTTTCAATACTCATTTTCAAGATTTATTAGGTATGACCAGATAGCCTTTAGTCTGCGGTTAACTTTGCCCTACGAGGCAGTATCATTCTGAGTATTTAATTTTGCCCTACGATGCAATATCCTTCTGAGTATTCTATTGAAAAAAAGAAAAATAAAAAACAAAACCAACTAACCTCTCTGCCACTGAGTCAATTCCAACTCATAGTGACCCTGTAATAGGGTTTTTCCAAGACTCAATTTTTTACAAGAGCAGAAAGCCTACTCTTTCTCCCATGGAGCAGCTGGTGGGTTTGAATTTTCCCAATGCATACTAGTTATGAATCGGGCTGCTAATCTCACAGTCAGCAGTTCGAAAAGTACCAGCTGTTCCGCAGGAGAAAGACGAGGCTTTCTGCTCCCGTAAAGATTTATAGCCTCGGAAACCCTGTACAGGGTCACTATGAGTCAGAACCGACTGCACAGAACGTAACAACAACAGCAACATCCTCTAGAACCACCAGGGCTCCTTAACTATCTATCCAGTGTCTCTTAATTTTGAAGTTTCCACTCTGGTTTGTGTAAAATACAACTATTCCTGGCTTTCTGTGTACTCTGAGAATATTTTCACTTCTTTTGGATGGTGCTTTTCCCTGTCTTGGGTAGTGTTCTCACTTGTGCATAAAGATCGTTTTTGTTGTTGTTGTTAAGTGCCATTGAGTCGTTTCTGACCCATAGCGACCCTGTACAGGGTTTCTGAGGAGCAGCTGTTGAGCTTGAACCACTGAACTTGCAGTTCAAACAGCTTTCTGAGGAGAAGACTCAAAAGGGACCTTCTGAAGATTTCTGAAATACTCCTCCTGGCAGCTCCGAATACACTGTCCTACAAACTCTAGCCACCTAGACTTACAGGTTCCTAATTCCGTCTGCTCAACCACAAGCTTCTACCCTGGGTTAACTCTCCCATGAAGAAGCCAAAACTGCCATTTGACATGGTTGTAAATCAAAGAGCACAGCATTATTCAGTGAAGAGCTATAGAGAGGGAAACACTGTCTTCAGAACTGTATAGTTCTAGATGGAAGATACGTTGTCAAAGTTTAGTTTCACATTTTGTTCTTTTTGTTTAATAAATGTTCCTATGATTTTATGGCAATACTTTTTGGCTTACACTCATATACCATGAAAGACAGTTATTTAAGGGTTTCTTGAGACGTGAAAAATATTTCAAGAGCTTTTCTGAAGAAAAAGTTTGAGAAAGGCTTGCAAAAATGAACCAGGATCAGCCATATCTTTGTAACTACTAAAGGCTCAGCTTCTGTATGTTTGAAAATTTTCTAACATAATGCAAAGTTAAAAACAATTAGGCAAGAGAATAGACAATTAACCTGAATTTTAAGGACTTAATTCACAGTCTGCATCATTAGCAGGAAACAGAAGGTAAACACCATCAAAAAGCAGCAGAGCTAGAAACAGACGACAAGAACTCTAGAGGTCTTGGCTCCCCACATCCCAGCTCTGCTCCGTAATACTGGACACAGTAATTCCCCTTTATGCTACCTGCTATTGTTTTTAACTGCCGTCCTGTTGGTTCCAACGCAAAGCAACCCTGTGTAGTGTTTACAAGGAATGGGGAACTTTATAATGGCTTTATAACTTTGTCACAGTACAGTTAACAAGACAAGCATCACAAAAGAGAGGTAAGCAATATCCTACAGGCTTGTTGTAAAAAAAAAACAAAAACAAAACACAAAAAACTGAAGTGTGTATGAAAATGAAATTATTTTCTTTACAGGGCAGAGAGATCAACGAGAAATATGAAGGGAAGATGTCATTCTCAAAGTGATTTGCATCATAACTACTATTTCCCATTACTCATTGTCTCAGGTGACAATTTAAAGTCTGAAGTGTACAGTGGGGAGAGAGGGTACCTTCCTTACAACAGGCATTCACCAAGTACAAAAGTTCCTACCAGAAATACTTGTCGGCGTCCAACAGACATGGCAACGCTATTCCATATTCTTTTCTTTTCAGGAAAGCTCTGCCCTTCTCATGATATCCCATAGCTAACATAAGAGCCTAGGAAAAAATATGGATTGAATGAAAGAAAATCACTTTAAATTATAATCAAAAATTGTATTAATGCATATTAATTCTAAAAACTGAAAACAAAATAAAAAAATAAAAATAAAGCAGTGCACAATTCAATCTAAAAGTCAAAATTAAACACATAGAATTAAATATTTAAACACTGAAGCAAACTACTCAATTTAATGTGATTAATGTGGTCACAGGCAGGTCTCACCTGCCCAATCATCTCCATCACTTTATTGTAGTGCCTTCCTGCAGCTCTACATTTCCTTCTAACATTCATCAAGACTTAGCTCATAAGCAGCCAGTATAGAACACAGTCCACAAAGACAATGTTCTACATCCTATTTTAGTGAGTAGCAACTGAGATTTTAATTAAAAGCTCAAGAGCGGTCAGGGTGCAACTGCTGGTCTCTCCCTGTGTGAAGGAAAGCAGAGTGATGAAAAATGAAGACACTTGGAAGCAATTACACCAATGGACTAATGAACCATGGGAACAGCGGTCTCCAGGACCCTGAGACCAGAACTAGATAGTGTGCCCAGCTATTGCTACCAACTGATACCAACTGCTCTGAAAGGGAGTACATTAGACAGTCCTGGGCAGAGTGGGAGAAAACTCAAAACCACATAAAAAATAAACCACAGGCTTACTGGTCAGACAGAGACTGGTGAAACCCCAAGACTATGGCGCTGGTCTGGAATTGAACCCAAGTCTGGAAATGAATTAACCCCTGTGGGTCAATTTTCAGGCAAGCAGTAGAAAGGCATAAAGTGGACAAAAGCACTAATGATCAACCATTCAAAAATCAAAAGGAAAGCATTTACCTAAGGACAAATTTCAGAAGGTTGGGAAAAAGAGAAAAACTTGAAACACAAAACACAAGGAGGAAGTAGGATCATTGATACTACATTGAGGGAACCTGCAATCACGATGAACTGAAGTCATGATTTACTGCATGTAAAACTGTTGACCTGCTCTGTGAGCATTCATTTAACTCACAATAAAGTTGTTGGTTTTTGTTTTTGTTTTTTAAAAAAAAGAAAGCTAAAACATTTATTAGTTATAGTATTTCTGAAACAATTTTTTAAAGCTGATTCAAAAACATTTTTAAATTCAGTAAGCGGGTTTTTAAATTTTTATGAGTCCATTTTAAAAAGGTTCCCCCAAGAAAATATCTGTATGTCACCATTTAATATAATATAGCAACAAGCCAAGAATCACCAACATTTTTACAAAAATAAACATCAGTGTACTACTGCTATTATTAAAATTCTCTTACTAAAAAACTTTAAAACTTAACTTTAAGCAGAATAATCCATACAGTAAAGTTACTCAAAACCGTGCTTTAAAAACAGAATTATGAAAATTATACTTAGCCCCTAGACATTAAATCACTTCATTAGAAGAAGCTTACTGGATCCTACTAAAAAACTGGTCTGAGGGTCCATGTAGTAGAATCCTTTTATGTAGATCCCCTTGGATTCATGTTCAAAGAGGAAACCACTTCCTACCTATCCAAATGATACAACAGTTTGGAAAAGGAGAGCTGTCAAAATCACCACTTTCCCTATACTCCCTAGCACCAGCTCCCCAATTCAGATACAGACCTTAGGGGACATGCATGGCCTTCTAGTAAAATCTGTCAAACCAAACCAGTGACTGTCAGAGGAAGTCGGCTAGCTTGAAGGCACTTTCACCATCACTGCCAGAGGACAAGACACAGCCTTTGGTAGAACTCTCTGAGAGCCACAGGGGAGAGACACTGTGTGCAACTGCTGAGACACTGTGTGCAACTGCTGGTAGTCTCTACTTACAGGGCTCAAGCCAGAAAACATTCTAACCTTCATCACATCCCAAGATAAAATAACTAGAAAACAACGTCAGTTTTGACAACAAATCTAAGAGCTAATCATAAAAGCTTTTTATGTACTTACTTTTCTTTCTGAGGGGGGAATCTTGATTGATCTGCCTGTCTGGTTGGCTATGTCTAAGTAAGGTGTAGTTTCTGGATCCACCACCATCTCAGCTGTAACAAAACCGAAAGGAACTTTACGATTCAGTGTTAAAAAAGGGAAGCAACATTAAACCAGGACACTGTTGGGGTGAGGAGGGGTGACAACTCCTCACAGTCACATAATTCATTGAAACCTCTCACTACGTATTTTAACTGTTGTGATTACTGTTACTGAGTCGGTTCTGACTCACAATGACCCTGTACAGGATTTCCAAGGAGCGGCTGGTGGGTTTGAACCAATGATCTTGTGGTTAGAAGTCCAGTGCTGACCTTACAATGCCACACCAGGACCCCTAGTCAGTGAAAATTCTGTGTACCTCTCTCAGCCAGTATTTCCAGTCCTCTCTTGGTCCTCTCTATTTTTTTTTCTTTGAGTTCTGCTTCAGTTTGTTCTTCTTCTTCTACCTTTCTCACTTCCTCTTCAGACTGCTTTAGTTCAAGCACCATAGCCTTCACATTGTGCGTCACTCCTTGTTCTTCCAGTGTTTTTCCTGTAAAAAGCAGAATTGTGCATTATATAAAGAACCTTTCAATTTACTGGGTCATAAGAGCCATTCTCCATGAGAAATGGAATGATAAAACCTCCACTGACATTTGCAAACTATTCTATGTCACATACTGGACTCCTGGTGTGGTGCTGCAGGATAAGCACTGGAATGTGAACCACAAGGTCAGTGGTTCAAACCCACCCAAGTGATCCTGGGAAACCCTATACAGGGTCACTGAGTCAGAACCAGCTTCACAGTACTTAATAACAAATGGCTGTGTGATGAAATGACCGTTAGGCAGCTGTCAAAACCTGTCACTGAAAAGAGAACTGACTTCATGCTTTCCAGTGGTCTTTATTCTTCTCCTGAGCCTGAACCAAATAACAAAGATTTGAGATGCTACTACAGGAAAGCACTACTGTACCAAGCAATGTAAAGGAAAATGAGCAAGTATACACATATACATGAATTTTCTTGCCCTCTAGTGGGAGAAATAACCCCAAATCACAGCCTCAGACAAGAAGCTATATAACGCCAGAGAGAGCACTGTGACAGGCAAGATACCAGTGGTTAAAAACAAAGACAGTATAACATCCCTTTTTAATACTATGTTTACTGAGTATTGCTTGTCTTCTAGGCCTGTTTCCTCATATACAAGTATAAAATGTATAAAAGGGCCAGAAATGAATGAAGCAGAATGAGAGAACAAGGAATGAGAATCATCACAAAATAAAAAACTTTGAAAACACTAAGTATATATAAGCCTAATATTTAAAAGAAACAAACTGAAGAGGACATAAAGAGACACAGATTTTAAAATGAAATCATATTATGAATTGGAAACTTATAAACATTTCTGAAAAAAAAGTCAAGTGGCATGAGGAAAAATAAAAAATTTGAATAGGCCAATGTAACTACTATAAAAATTAAAATAGCTATTAAAGAGCTCTCCCTCATTCACACTGTTATGAATTTATGTTCCCCAAAAACAGATGTTCAAGTCCTAATCCCCAGTACCTATGAATATGACCTTGTTTGGAAATAGGGTCTTGCATATTTAATTACGTTTTCATGAGGTCAGACTGGGATAGATAGGGTGGGCCTTTATCCAATGACTGGTGTCATTTTAAAAGGAGCAAAGAGACAGATAATAAAGGGAAGATGGCCATGTGAAGATGGAGGCAGACATTAGTTTAAAAGTCTCCAGAGAGACCCTGGCCCTACTGAGACTTTGATTGCTCCCAGACCTGTGAGCAAATCAATCTGCATTTTCAGGCCACCCAGTCTGTGATACTTTATGACAGCAGCTCTACACGTAAATATTTAAAATAAACAGAAGTGACTACTGCTTTAACACAGTCTGCACACAAGCACCCCTCTGCCAACCGCTCCGTCACAGTAGAGGACATGAACGAGTACAGCAACACAGAGGAATTTGCAGAGGGATCCAAGATAAACGCGAGCAAGAATCAACAGGAAGATGGGGAAATGCTCATTTGGAGACTTGAGCTGGGATACCAGCAAGAAAGAGCTCACTGAATATGTCTTGATTTGGAGAGGCTGTAGACTGCACAATTAAAATAGATCCAGTCACTGGATGGTCAAGAGAATTTGGATTTGTGCTTTTCAAAGATGCTGCTGATGTTGATAGGTTTTGGAACTGAAGGTTTTTGTGGGTGGACTGAGTCCAGATAATTCTGAAAAACAATTTAAAGAATATTTTGGAGCATTCGGAGAGACTGAAAATATTAAACTTCCCATGGATACAAAAACAAGTGAAAAGACTAGGATTTTGTTTTTAGCACATGTACAGAAATTGTTAGAAAGCAGGTATCATCAAATTGGTTCTTGTTATGTTCCGACTCACAGCAACTCTGCATAGGGTTTCCGAGGCTGTAAATCTTTACAGGAGCAGAAAGCCTCATCTTCCTCCCGCAGAACAGCTGGTAGTTTCTAACTGACCATGAGATTAGCAGCCCGATTTGTAACCACTACCCTACCGGAGCTCCTTAAATTGTGAAATCAAAGTTACACAGCCCACAGAAGTATACAGACAGCAACACCACCAACAGAAAGGAGGAAGAGGTGCTGCAGCTGGTGGGAGAGATGGTACTAGGGGTCATGGACGAGGTCAGGGCCCAAAGTGCAATCAAGGATTTAGTAACTATTATTATCAAAATATGGAAATTACAATAGTGCCTATGGTGGTGATCAAAACTCTAGTGGCTATGGTGGATATGATTATTCTGGGTGTAACTATGGAAACTATGGACAGGGATATGCAGATTAAAGTGGCCAACAAAGTACATATTGCAAGGCATCTCGAAGGGGTGGCTATCACCAAAACAATGACCAGCCACTAAGGAGGACATTGGAGAAAACAGGAAGAGATGCTAAAGTAATCCATCTTGGCAGAACAACATTGAAGATTTGTCTTCTGTTGATCTAAGATGACTTTTTGTAAAGGACTTTTAAGAGTACAAGGGCACGGTTACCGGTACTTCTTAAACATAACCAAACACTTCATGGGATTAGTTTCCTGTGTTTAATATTTTGTGTTTTCAGCGCAAGGGTACATAACAAATTTCACTTGCCAATTCCTATACATACTCAGTGAAATTCCATTTTTCACAATGTGCCAACATTGTTTTAAGTGTGTGTGGCTGTTCCATTTGCAGTGCTCTATAGTTTCCCTGCCCCCTAATCTTCTCAGAAGTATTATCCTTTATTTTGTACACCAACCTGTTATTTCACTAAAAGATGAGCTCGGGGATCGTTTCAGTTCATGGTTTAAACAATATCCCAGGGCAACAGCCTCAGAGTCCTGTAGTCTCACCAGGTCCAGTAAGTCTGGGCATTTAAATCATCTGAGTGCTGTTCCATGTTGTTCTCCCATTCTTCCAGGACCCATCACTAGTGGCCCTGATCAGAACACTTGGTAGTGGCCGTGCATCATCTAGTTTTGGGATCACGGTCGATAACGCCATGACTCAAGTAGGCTCTTAGTCCTACAGACTAGTTTCCTCTCCGAGTCTGGCTTCCTTCTTCCTCTTTGGCTCCAGACAAGCAGAAACCAATAGTTCCATTTTAAGAGACCCAACGAAGTTCTCCTCACTGCAATGCACAACATCAACTCTTTGAACTGTATTAGTTCAATTCACCAAGTTGTCCTATGAGACTAAGGTCCTAAGCTTTCAAACTCAGAAAATCAATCTCACAAAGTATTTGGCAAAGTCTGAGAAGTATCTGTAACTGCGTCCTCTTCGAATATATACACATGCACATACGTACACAGATACTTCAATCTGTGCCTGACACACAAGGGTAATTCAGAAAGTACTGCCACTAGAGTTCTACTTCATGCATGCACAAATTTATTACAAACAAAACATGTTTAAACATGTTTCTGCAATCAGTGGATGGTGACAGACAAGTTCTCTCAATAATTGTCTTCATTTCATTTGTTGTTGTTGTTGTTGTTGTTGTTAAGTGCCGTCGAGTCGGTTCCGACCCATAGCAACCCTGTACAGGGTTTCCGAGGGTGTAAATCCTTACGGGAGTAGAAAGCCTCATCTTTCTCCCGCGGAGCAGCTGGTAGTTTCGAACCGCTGACCTTAAGGTTCGCAGCCCGATTCGTCACCAACAAACAAAAACAGGCTTCCGACAATTGTGTTTTGGGATTCCAAGAGAGTCATCCTCATAGATTTTTCTCAATGGGCATATGAGAATCATGAGTGCTTATTATCAAGAACTTTCAAGAAAACTGAAAACTGCATCAGTAAGAAAGAGGCCAGGAAAGAAGTGCTAAGGAATTTGTTTTTTCATTGAAACAATGCACTTGCTCATTCTTTGAAGATATCAAGAGAAGTCTTGTAAGAATTTTGTTGGGAAACCTTAGCCCCATCCACCCTATGGACCCGATTTTGCCTCTTCTGACATTTTTCTTTTCAAAGAATATTGATAAGGAACACATTTATGTCCCTTAAGGATGCCAGAACTGCCATTTTGACATGGTGCAAAACTGGAGAGCGCAGAATTATTTGGAAAAGGATAAGAGAGATGGAAATACTCCTTCAGAAGTATACAGACCTAGATGGAGAATATGCCAAAAAAAAAAAACCAATATTCACATATTGGTGTTTAATAAAGGACTCTATGGTTTTATCCTGGTGTGGCACTGTAGGATAAGCACTAGACTGCAAGGTCAGTTTGGACCTTAAAATCAGTGGTTGGAACTCACCAGCTGCTCCTTGGAAACCCTATACAGGGTCGCTATGAGTCGGAACCGACTCAAAGGCACTTAACATGATTCTGTAGCAACATTTACAATCATATGTACATACATCGTAAGATGACAAACAAGTTCTGGTGTGGCACTGTGGGATAAGCACTGGATTGGAAACTGCAAGGTCACCAGTTCAAACCCAGCAGCTGCTCTCAGAAATGTTATACAGGGTCACGAGTCAGAATCAACTTGACATCACACAACAAAACACATATATATGATCATATACTCATTTTTAGGGTACTGTTGATGTCACTGCCAAATTAAACATGCTGCTCCTTGGAAACCCTACACAGGGTCGCTATGGGTCGGAATCGACTTGACGGCACTTAACATCAACAATTATGGGCTAATGCGCTGGACTGCAAAGTCAATTTGAACTGAAAGGTAAGCAGTTCAAGCTCACCAGCAGCTCCTCGGAAACCCTTTACAGGGCTGCTGTGGGTCAGATCCAAACTGTATGGCACTTAACAACAACATTCTTTAGCACAAACATCCTTTTATCTTGCGTGCTTCTTAGTGGCATCATTTACTTTGGTCAAGCTGTGCATTTTGCACCCTCATACAATGCTACTTTTCCCCATCGCCAAAAACAAGCATCTACGTTATCTGTGATCTAGAGAGTGACTTCCTCCTACTCATCCCTGGGACCTAACAATGAGCTTTGGTCTCTGTATGTAAATATAAATATACACACTTTATATATATATATATATATACACACACACACACACATATATATATATACATATATGTATCTGTGTCTTCTTACCGAAGTATGAACATACAATAGTTATCCTTAAGGGACTGACTTAACTCCCTTAGCATTGTGTCCTCTAGACCTATCCATAGTGTTTGTTTTTTATGTTGTTTATTATTGTTCTTTATGGTTGTATAGTATTCCATTGTACTACATTCTGCTTATCTAGTCAACCACTGAAGGCACTTAGATGGCTTTTTTTGTTGTTGTTTTTTTAATACTATTTTGACTATTGCTATGATGAACATAGGTGTACCTATGGGTTTCCTGATTTGAAGGACAAGGACCACAGTCTTGTGGGCTATCTTGGCACCTTAACACCACCACCATCACCACACAGGAATAAGGCTCACCAACAGATGAAGGGAAAAGAAACAAAAGTGCAGTAACAGATCCAATGGGGAAAACATGGGCATTCAATCAGTTGTGTTGGAAGAAAAAAAAAAAAGAGGTGGGCTCCTTCTCCTACACCAGGCGGAGAGGTAGATTCAGGGCAGATCAAAGACCTAATACAGACTAAGCTGGTGTCAAATGCAGCAAACTAGCCTTATGTTCCTATGCTTACAGAAAGAACTTCTTAAACAAAACACACACGAAAATAAAATCCAAACCATATAGCAAAAAAAACCCAAGATTTTATTATCAAAAGCAAGGCTTTCTATTAACATGGACGTGAGAAAACAGACACTTTCAAGGCATCTAAACATCCAAAATAAAGAAACACCTACAAAGGAGTAACAAATTCCTACAGTGCTATCACAAGCACACATACTCATACATACAATGGCAAAGGAAACAAATGCGCAATTCACAAAAAGAAAAAGTCCAGAAAATGATGACAATGAAGAGATGCCCAGATTCCCTAAATCAAGGGAAAAAAACCTAAATACATAACGAAGTACCACTTCATACCCATCAAATTAATAAAACGTAGAAACCTGCATGATAAAAACTAGCATTTGCCACTCCAGTAAATGAGAATTCCCACATGCTCCAGAGCATAACCAGTTCTGGTTATCTGGAGAAAAAACTGACAGGCCTTGGAGGCTGTGACCTTACACAGCACCATCATCCCACCACAGAGCATGCGTCTGAGGACAACGTGTGGCCTCGCTGAGGGGGAGAATGGAGCTGCAGCATGTGGTGAGTGTGTGTGCATGTGGTGAGATCCAAGGAGGATACATACAGCTGCAACATGTGGTTAAACTCAAGGAGGCTACATACAGCAACACGGACAGAGGGCAGAATGAGCTGAGAAACAAAGGATAGCAGGCAGTGATGTCTACAGCATAATGTACTTTTTGTAAATTAAAGCATAAAAACAACACAATATACTTTATAAGGAGACAAAGATATCAAAGAAAGTGTATTAAGACCTATGGAAGCCAGAACCTGGCAGAGAAGGAAAAAAGATGAAGTACTGACAGAAAAATGGTTAAGGCTAAGGCAGAAAATTTACAAGATCCAGAAAAACAAGGCAGTACCATCAGGTTTCACTGCAGCATACATGGGGGGTGATGTATTGGGTGGAACGGAGGAAGTCCGAAATGAGGGAGGAAATTATCAAAGAAGACAGTCACTGAACAAACTAAATTGATAATTATGGTGAGCAAGGAAATAAATGTGTTGACTAAGCTCTTCTAATATGCCTACAGTAACAACAGCAGTACAAAGACCTTAGAAATGTTTACTAGTTTCCAGTTAACCCAGCCCTATAACCAACTTCACACTGTGCTGGTTCTTATCATTACACTTTTGAGTTATTCTGTATCTAGGGTTAAAACATACATGTGTACAAAAGCAATGTCACGAATGTAAGCCTAAATCAAATCAATGCTGCTGCGACAAAGCAGGCTCAGAAAGGTATAGTGTATTAGAAAAGGTACTCCAGAGGCGGGAGCAGGGGAGCTGGGCCTGAATTAGGATTTCAGAGTTTGCAGTGGGATGGATGAAGAGGAATCAAGAGGGGCTCATGGAGGTAGTCCTGGTGGACCAAAAGTAAAAGAGCTAACGTGTGCAAATAGTGGGCAGTAAAGTGTGGCTCCAGACTGAGGCTCTGCTAGGAAATGGGTAGAGATGACAACACTGGCCAGGGCCAGGCTGTGAAGCTAAGAAATCTGAACATGATTCCTTAGCCCAGAATAAGCCACTGGAAACCCCCAAGACTACAGTACGTGCCTGAACTACTAGGATAATGAACTTGTCTTCCCAAACGTGCTCGTGCTCCTCCCTTCAAACTCATTCCCTCAAGAAGCTAAAGTCATCTTTACAACACAAACAGGACTGTGTATCCTTCTCCAGCATTGCATTTGGGAGAAACACTAACACTGAGCAAGGTTCAGATACTCTAGATTTCATATTTGGGGCAGGAATGATCATTCTTTGCTGTGGGGGCCGTCCTGTGCACTATAGGATATTTAACAGCATCCCTGGCTACATTAGCTGCACTGACTACCCTCACACCAGCTGTGACATCCAAAAATGTCTCCAAACATGCCAAAAGTCCCCTGGGGGGTAATATCACTCCGGGCTAAGAGACTCCGCCATAATCCTCCACAAGGTGGCCCCTGCCTGGCGCTCCATCCTTAGAGCTATTGCCCCCTTCCTTCTGCAGCCAGAAGTCCTACCGGACTTTTTTAACTTTCTGGAGTTTGTATCAGGGCGCTGTGTTAAGTTCTTAGTCTGAAACACTGCCCACTACAGCCTTTCTTGCTCTCCACATTCAGCTTTAACTCTTCTCCCTTGGGTAGAATCTCTTTGAACTCAATTTTATTCACACTACACCACAGACTTTGAGTTTGTTGTTGTTGTTGTTGTTATGTGCCGTGGAGTCGGTTCCAACTCATAGCATCCCTGTACAGGGTTTCTAAGGCTGTAAATCTTTACAGGGGCAGAAAGCCTCATCTTTCTCCCACGGAACAGCTGGTAGTTTCGAACTGCTGATCGTGAGATTAGCAGCCCAATTCGTAACCACTATGCTACCAGAGTTCTTACTCAAATCTTAAGCGTCCTTCTCCCCCCACTAGACAATAGCCTGACACAGGACAGAAATAAGCACTTACTGGAAAAGTTGTTTTCTGTGCTTTTGGATTATACACAAATAAGAACACTAGGAATTTTGGAATAGAGGAACAGTAGGGGGATAAAAAAAAGAATGCAGTCATTACTTCTATATTGACTTGATTTACAAATTCTGCACTTTTTGCCGTAACATACCTAGTTGAAGCAGTTTCTTATTTATGACAATTTTGATGTAATTTTCTTGAAATCCATAGGTTTCAGCTATTCTGTAAAATAAAACCAGTGAAAATAAGGAACTTTGATATTTACCATACATTAAATAGATTTTAATCATGATAACCACTTTATACACGTGATTCAGAAACATCCAATATCACAACTTACCAACTCACAAACATCATTTCACGACAAAGCCAACTTACTAAATGGTTACTCAAAAACAATATACAAGAGACATTATTTTTAAACTATCTAATTACTACATGTTTCCTCATGAAGTAGAGACCATGGTGCTATAGACCACTTGCTGATGTCATGAATTTCCTACATTTCTGCGGGGAACGCACTAGTCCCACAGAATAAACACTGGACTGCACACCACAAGGTAGGTGGGATCAACCCGCTCCACAGATCAAAGATGACTTTCTGCTCCCACAAAGATTACAGCATTGTAAGCCCTATAAAGGGTCACTAGGAGTCAGAACCAACTCGATGGCACTTAACAATGTATCTTCTGTAGACTGCTTAGAGGAGCAAATTAACAGAAGCTATTCCTTCTAATAACTTCATATGCATGTGAAAGCTGGACAGTGAATAAGAAGACTGTAGAAGAATTGACGCATTTGAGTTACGGCGCTGGAGGAGAATACTGAAAGTGCCATGGGCTGCCAAGAGAACAAAAGCATCTGTGTTGGAAGAAGTACAGCCAGAGTGCTCCTTGGAGGCCAGGATGGCCAAACTTTACCTCTCATACTTTGGACATATTGTCAGGAGGGACCAGTCGCTGGAGAAGGATATCATATTTGGTAAGGTAGAGGGCCAAAGGTAAAGATGAAGACCCCCAGCGAGATGGATTGGCAAAGTGGCAACATAAATGGGCTCAAACATAGCAACAATTGTGAGGTTGTCCCAGGACTAGGCAGTGTTTCATAAGGTCGCTATGATTCTGCACAGACTCAATGGCACTTAACAACAACAAATTCCTTCTAACCTTGCATTCATTTGTGTAGAAATTAGTGATGCTTCCTGAACCATTTTTAACAGCCCTAAAGGAGACCAAGAAAATGGAAAAAACACTGCGTGGTAAGCCCTGGAGGTACTCAAAACACTCACCATTGAAAAAATACACACACCAACGAAACAACTAACCAGACCTCAAAATTAGGCTCTCTACAGTAGGTTGTTGCTTTTTCTTTTAACAAATGTGCCAACAATCTACAATCAGCTAAAACACTTTGCATTAATAACTACAATCTAATACCAAACTGTATCCTTTTTGAATTACGCACTCACTCATTTAAATCCGAATCTAGAATCTATTATGTGGTAGGCACCGAATTCTGATCTGATTTAAAGTTATATCAAGAAATAAAGAAATGCTACAAGTCTTGAGTTTCCACATGGCCACTTAACTAAGTCTTTCAACCTTGAATTCTCATTTTCCTTCCCAACAGAGATAACAACACCTGCCCGATCTCTGGTCCTGGAGGACCAAGTGAGCAAATATGAAAATGGCCAAGACCAAATGGAACACCAGAGACACAGTACTTACTTGGATCTCAGCTCCTTGCCAGTGATATGTAATCGGGTCTCCAACAAGTTTTTCTTGTCCTATTTAAAAAAGAAAATGTACCTGATTTGAGACATCTTTGATAATTTTATACATTAAAGATACAGCCTAATATTCACTGTCCTAATATTTTAGGCTATATCTTTAATTCCAAAAGATCAAAGAATGCACGCACAGAAACCATACCAAGTGGCCCTTCAGTCTCTGCTTAAGGATTAGATTTTTAGAGGTAGATTTGTCACATAGCTGTCTTTATTCAAGCTCACCAACAGAACTGGCCTAAGCTATACAAGACCCAATCTACCACCTCTACCATTAGGGCAACTTTGATGAGAAGACACTTCCTCCTCTTTGCCATATGTGAGGCTGTTAACAGTGAGGCTATAACAGGAACCTCTTCATTCTCCATTTCCATGCTTTACTGAAAACCTGTAATCTTTAGCAACACCCATGAGGCCATCCAAATCTGTTCAGCCTTCCGACTGGATAGTTTTGGTCTCTCATACACTTTTTTTCTGTTGTTTTTTCATAAAGCTCTAGAATTTTCAAACTACTTACTGAGATATAATTTACATACCATGAAGTTCACCTATTTATAAAGTGCATGAATCCATAGTTTGTAAACATTTACAGAATTATACAACCATCATGGTTATGGCTTCATTTATACCCTAACCTCTATGCATATGATTTTGGAGTCCTGGTATAGCACTGTAGGAGAATGCACTGAACCAAATGGTTGGTTTGAACCGCAAGGTCGGTGGTTCAAACTCACCAGTTGCGCCTTGGAAACCCTATGACAGGGTCACTATGAGTCAGAACTGACTTGACAGCAATTAACAACAATGCCTATGACTGGGGGCACAGTGGCACCATACGATAAGCACTGGGCAAAGTCCACGATTCGAGCCCACCAGTCACTCCACGAGAGAAAAGTCAGGTTTTCTGTTCTCTGGAAGATTTAAAAAGCCTTGGAAACCCTACACAGGGTCACTATGAGTTGGAACTGACTCCACAGCACCAAACCACAATGCCTATAATTATAATCCCATTTGGGAATGTGTTTCGTTATGTTAATAAGGCAGGATTAGTATAAAACCTATTTTCAGTCTATCTCTTTTGAGATGGAAAAGAGAAGATATAAAGTTACTTGAGGGTCACCCAGGAGCAGAAACGTAGAGACGAGGACCTTCTAGCAGAGCCAAGAAACTCTTACCCTAAACCCAATACCCTGAATTCAGACTTACAACCTTACAGTCTCCTCACTATGAAAAAATAAAGTTGTGAAAGGCACCCACTTATGGTTTTTCTATTGTTCCAGCACTAGGTAACTAAGACAATCACTGTAATCCAATTTTAGAACATTCTCACCATCCCCAAAAAACCAGTAACCCATACTCTCCACCCTCACATGCCCACCCCCAGGAAACCATGAATTTACTTTTTGTCTCTATGGATTTGTTATTCTAGACATTTCATAGAAATGGAATCGTGTATGTGGTCTTTTGTGACTGGCTTGTTTACCTGGCATGTTTTTGAGATTCATCCATGTCATAGCAGGAATCAGAACGCCATTCCTTTTTATTGCCTAACAGGAATGCATTGTATAGTAAAATAATTTTAGAAATCGTGTTGTGGGAGCCTATGACCTCTTGTAATTCAGGATGGGGAAGAGGGAGAGTCATCATCAGCATCAGGTATCAGCCCAAGGCTACCTTCTGTGAGGCAGAGGTCAGCCATACCTCCTCTTCAACATTTTCCCCCAATTCTTAATGCAGTCATCCCACTTATGGGACTCTCTATTTGTCTGCTGGAGATCTGGTGTGGCGCTGTGGGTTAATGCGCCAGACTGCAAAACCGTGTGAACTGCAAGGGAGGCGGACTCGACAGCACTTTACAACAACAACACTTGCCTGTTGGGTGCAAAAATTTGCTTTAATAGTCACACAAGCCTCACAGACAATAATACTCCATGATTATGGGGTTTTTTAGAGAATTTATTGTTGTTGCTAAGTGCCGTCAAGTTGGTTCCAACTCATTGCAACCCTGTACAGGGTTTCCAATTACCCACCAACCTTGTGGTTCCCACTCCATTTACAGTCCAGCACATTAACCCACAGCACCACACCAGGATTCCTTTAGAGAAGCAACAGGTTACAATTCAGGATCAGAAACAACTGAAACGTTGGTCAGTTCTTTGCCTGGTCATGCCCATACCCTCAGCCCCTCGAGCCCCTTGGACTAGCCTGGCCTTTGCCCTGCGTAAGTGTTACAAAGCTCTTTAGCTCTACCAGTAAGTGCCCACAGGCTCCCACTACACCAGCAAGCCTCCCTACTCCAAAGGTACTTAGTTGTCTCTACCCTCTGTGCCACGTCCTGCTGGTTCTGCTGCCCCAGTTCTCTGCTGCTATTCCTGGTATCTCCAGTGTCTACTAGGAGCTTCTCAGCAGGAACCCCAGGTCCAAGGGACATGCTCCACTTCCAATCCTTCTTTCTTGGTAGTACTAAGGATCCCCCGCTTCCTGCCTCTGGCTCATTGTCAACTAGAAGAACCGCAGACTGACTAATCCCCTTGTTAGGGTTCCATACACTTAATTTGCATGGTCCCACCTCCACAAGGGTGCCATGAACCTTACTCTATAATCAGCAAGCTGTCCAATCCCCTTGGTGGGCCACAAGCACCGTAACTGGACCATCTCACCCAATCTTTTTGTTGAGAGGTACAAGACCACTGCTAGAAAGGCCATATAAAAGTGGAGCTATATAGAAAGATGAAGCTTTCTCATTTTGCAAAGATTTAAAGCTCCAGAAACCCTTTCCAGAGTCGCTATGCATCAAAACCAACGCCACGACACTTAACCACAAATATAAATATGTAATATTTAGATATGTATTAGATATTCCATATAGACACATAACATTTTATTATCCACTCATTAATTGATAAAACATTTAGGTTGTTTCCACTTTATGGCGATTTTATGTAATGCTGTGAACACTGGTGTGCAGGTTTTTGGCATGGACATAGTTTTCCTTTTGCTTAGAATACAACTGTTAAGTCAAATGGTAACTCTGAGACAAAGACTTTTAACTCTTTTAATAATAATTAGCACTGATTGGTCCTGAGATGCCAGCCACCTCTGTAGGTTCTGACTGAGTAACATTTCTGGACTTGAACTATAGGTTCTGGCCCTGCCATAAGGTGACCCCACCCAGAACAGCAACCCAGCTGAAGCACTGATACCATCTTACCTCCACCTGAATAGGAAAAAAGGATGAATTCTTTTGGTGATAAGTCCTACCACACAGACAGTTTTAGGGTACTTAAAGACTTTATTCCCTATTATTTCTAAACTTTTATTCAAACTTTAGAAGAGACCAGAATGTGATGTACAGTTTTATGAAATTTTGGAGGTCTCAAGAAGAAATATACCTTGTAAGTACCTTAGTTTAGGAGTTCATAAAATTAACCTATAAGTCAATCAACATTCAGCATGCAAAATAACTTTTTAAAATTATAAATTTGTATTCTTAGTTTTTAAAAAAAATGGCTATTATTTCATTAACTGATACATATATGTACATTTGGAGAATTTACTTACTTTTCTTAGTCTTGGTAAAAATATCTCAATTGTAGCAATTCCTGTTGTTTTATAATTTTCATTTCCTGTCCCACGCTCAATTGCGTTGCACCGTATTTCTTCTATCATTTTTTGTACCTCATTTTCACAACATTCTAACTTGTCAGAGTATTTCTTAGCAAGGTCCTATAAAAAACCAACAGAAAATACAGACTAATAAAATACCAACTCAAAAAAAAGCAAAATACAGAGCACATGCTGGACTCTAAGGTGATGAAGTCTGCTGTACTGACTTCCAATTTTGACCCCCTCTTCAGGGTGTAGAGAATTTAGAGACAATCCGGAGAGAACTGTAAAGTAACAGCTAGAAAAACAAGCGCAATAGAAAAAATAAGATGGGAGAACAAACAAGATGGCAGATCGGGTGGACGTGTAGGAAAGAGCTCCGCCAGCAACAACACAGAATACCCGACCAAGCAGGCTCAGGGGATGGTCCCAGAACTCTGAACCACATATAAGAAATATTTAAAAGATTGGAAGGCTTACAGCTGGGGGAATTTGTGGCAGAAGCAAGAAATCCTTTGCTCTCTAGTTCGGAATGCTCAGCTGCTCCAGGAGCCACCATCATGATTGAAACCAGGCAGGGGAAGGATCGGAGCGGCCACAGACGCCTGGTAAACCGCAGAGATAAAGGTGTAGACATTCTTTTCTTTTGGTATCTGTTCACTGGTACCTTGCTCTATCTGTGCACCTCCATTCTGGTGACTATAAGGGTATCTGAGCTAGTGGGCATCCCAGCCCCACCCTCGGAGGGTTCTTACACGCATGCGCACAGATCTCCTTGAAATTTAAAGAGACAGTTTCCAATTAAAACCAAATGTGGCCAGCCCTTTCCAATTAAAATCAAACGGCCACAGCTGGCCCTGAACTGTTTACAGCTAGAAAGAAGACCTGAACGGGAATTGTGGTATGAGACAAGCACACAAAGAAGGAAATAAGCAGAAAATTAAATCTTAAATTACATCAAAATGACCAACAGTGGCATCTTGAAATTTCTCAAGAAGAAGAGTGAAAAGGGAAGCCAATTTCCTGTCACATCTACCTGGAGGCAATCAGAAAGCATAAAAAATACCAAAATGCATACCCATCTAAGTATTAAGGCCACAGATAACCCCTGAAGATGCCCCCAAAACAGACACAGATGACCATATCTGCACATGTCCAGAAACAAGATAAAGTGACTGAGGCAAATGAGCTGGAAGTAGACCTACACTCCATACTGGAAGATGGGCAGGCTTTGGAAATCCCAGAGAAGGAATTCAGAAAATGATTATAAAAGGAATCAAAACACTACACAATGCAGTTGAGAAAAATAAGGATGAAGTCAGGAAAGCACTACAGGAACAATCAAATTAGATAGAGCATTGGAAAAAATTCAAAACCTACACAAAGAGGCCCAAATGATTAATAATAGAATATCAGAAATGGACAATACACTGAAAGGGCAAAGGAGTAGAATTGAAAAGACAGGAGCCAGAACTAGTGAGCTAGAAGATAAATCTCTCAACACTACTAAGATAGAACAAATACATAAAATGACAAAAAAAATTGGAAGAAGGCCTAAGACTCATGTTGGATAATATGAAGAGGAATAAAATAAGAATTACTGGCATTCCAGAACAGGAACAATCACACAAGTCCACAGAGGAGAGAGTTGAAGAGCTTCTGGAAGAAAATTTTCCTAACATCATGAAAAGCGAAAAGCATTCAAGAAGCTCAACGAACCCCAGGATGGATAGATCCTAAAAGACAATCACCAAGACATACAATAATCAAGTTCTCCAAAATCAAAGATAAAGACAGGATCTTGAAAGCAGCTAGGGAAAAGAGAAATATAACATACAAAGGCAAGCAAATTGCATTAAACTCAGATTTCTCAATAGAAACCATGCAGGCAAAAAGGCAATGGGGAGACATATATAAAATCCTGAAAGAAAATAACTGCCTCTACCCAGCAAAGCTGTCAACCAAATATGATGGTGTAATCAAAACATTCCAGGATAGGCAGAAGCTAAGGCATTTTGCCAAAGCCAACCCTGCTATGAAAAACATCCTAAAGGAAGTTTTGTGGACTGAGAACCAACAAGAACACACAACAACTATAGAATGATATACGTAGCAGCATCAACCTGAACTCAGTCGACAAATGGAAGAGTTATGAACAGAATAAAATTATAAGAACAGAGGATCTGGGAGGTCAGTCTATGATCTAAACAATTACAATGTGAAAAAAGGTAAACACAGAGGAACAGAGATCCAGGTGGTGAGAAGGTCAGGTAGACTACTGGATAAAACAGACTGTCTTAAATGAAGGGAAGAACTAATGGAATATAAGGTAAGCACAATGGGGTTTGGGTGAGGGGTTTACTTTGGGTGTTGGGGAGGGCAATACAAGAAGTGGGGAGGAGGCAGAAGAACAAGATAGATAAGGGAACACTGAGACAGGTTTGCATGGCCTAGTGGGACAGAGGTAAATAGTGATGCATACTCAACCTTAAAACAACAGGGCTCTGGGATACAGGGATCTAGGTATAGCTTGAAGAGGATAAATAATACTAAAATCCTGGACTGCCTTATATTAGTTTCTCTTGCCTACTACTGTAAAATAGACACTTGAGTGGGATAGAAAGGAATGCTGGGAAACATGATTAGAGAAAACTTGTAAGCCCGTCTTCAGTCTGTAACTGATTGGAATACCTAAAAGGGGTTCTACAACTTGCCCAGTGAAATAGGCCTCGTGCAAAGCCTTTACCGAGTATAAGACCTTAGATGAAATTTTGAGTTCCATCCACAACCTTGTGAGGTGGGACATTCCCACTAGAAAGGACAAGCAGACTGGAACAGCTACAGTGACAGAAGATACATCTTCATGATGAACCTGACGTATACTTAAAGCGGTAGTTACTCTAAATACCAACAGAGAAGGAAAGAGTCTTCAAATCAAGTATCAATGCTATTCGCTCGGTAGACAGGGTAGACAGGAATGGGCAACTTAGATATTTGCTACCTAAAATGAGGGGGCAATTAGGCACGAAGTGACTGGCTTACAAGGTTTCAAGAGGGAGTTTAGTTTAAGATTGTGGGGGGAAAGAAAGAGTCCCCACTGAATAGCTGTCATCTTGTCTAGATGGGTCTGGTAAAAAGAGATGGGGATAAGATTCGTAAGATTCAATAGTGAATAACTGTTATGACTAATCGCGACTGTCACAATCGTAAAGGTAGAAGTTTTGTAACAAAAAAAGGGGAGTGGTTAATCTTACAGTCCAGAAACAGAGGACCCTAGGACCATCAAGAGAAGAATGCACATACAGAATGAGGGACCTTATCCAGAGAAGCAGCAGCGCCAGAGATGGAGGCAGAGATGGGGCATGGAAAGGGGGAGTGGCTGATGACTCTCGATTCATGGACTAAGAAGAGAAGGACTAAAAGCTGGTGGCCAGGAGCAGACCTCCAGAACGTGACCTTTGAAGATGTAAATTATTATATATGCCTGAGTGGGTTTTTTTGTTTGTGTGTTTTTTTTAAAAAGCTAAAGTGGACAGAGACAAATACTGTTAACTAATGGTATATGGAGGGGATTATAATCAATGTAATGAAACAAGTTATATGATTTGTTGAATGTAAAACTGATGATGTGCCCTGTAAACTTCCACTCAATCCACAAAAAAACCTTAAAAATTAAAAAAAAAGGATGATTCTAGGGGAAGAGAAAGGTAGGCTATGACGTCCATGACTGCACAACATGTAACATGTAAGATTACTTTAAGAAAGCGTGAGCTCCACTCAATAATTACTCTCAGAGAGGAGATGTAAGGGATCAGGGAAACTAGTCACAAAAATGGAATATTCAAATGGAAACACTGAGAATTCTCACAAGCAGTGAAGAATGTCACCAATGTCACTGAACAGTCTATGTAGAAATTGTTGAATGGAACCCTAAACTGATGTGCAAACAGAAAACACAGTATTTTTTTTTTTTAAAGAAAAGTAAATTATTCATCTATACTAAAGGAAAAGAAAGGAAGATATGGAGAAAACATTGTAAGCATAGTGAGAACAAGACAGGTTAAATAACATTTTTAACAGAAACTTCTGAATTACTCATGTTGTTAAGTGCCACCAAGCCGGTTCCAACTCACAGCGACCTGGTATACGGTTTCCAAGGAGCAGCTGGTCAGTTTGAACTGCTGACCTTGCAGTTCAAACCGACCTTTGGTTCCAGGGCTTTACCCCAATGCGCCACACCACTGGGTTGTAAAATCATTTGCTAAGGAGAGGTCTAGGTTTGAGAAAGAGTTTAAAGGATTTAAGGAGCCTCAAAAACAGCTCTGAGCCAATTATTATAATTTACTTTATAAGTATAATTTACTTACACTTTATAAAGTAAGTCACTATGCTCCCTCACAAAAAATATATGCATTTGCAATTTAACATCTCTTTAAGAGAGCTGTCACTACCCATAAACAATGCTGTTTTTGTTTTTTAAATGCTGTTGAGTTGGTTCCGACTCACAGCAACCCTGTAAAAGGTTTCCGAGGAGCAGCTGGCAACCTTGCGATCAACTGCTTATCTTACAGTGCCATTCCAGGACTCCATAAAACATCAACAGTTGTAAAACCCTGAAGTTCAAAGTTTTGTCAAATTTAGAATGTAATACCATACAGCAGATATTTATGACAGGGAGAGATGTTCATGATATATAGAAAGTTACAAAACAGAAAGCAAATAGTATTTTATTTTTAAAATATAAACCTCTGTAATAATGTGTATTTTAATATTCACATTGAAATAGAATATATCACTATTAATTATAATTATTTTTGTTTTTTTATTTAATTATATGTATATATTTTCTTTAATTAACTCAAGCAGCTATATTATTTTTATTACCAGAAAACTAAAAAATTGCAACTTTCTATAATTCTCTAGAAAATCTGATTACTTAAATTTCTCAGTCAAGATTATAATAAGCAAATTCAGCACTAAGGTCCCGTGGGCTGTGAAAATTATAAGTGAGACCTATCACAGAGTCAGAGTCCTGATGTGGAGCTATAGGATAATGCGCTGCACCACAAGGTCAGTTTCAATTGCAAGGTCAGCAGTTCGAACCCAGCAGCAGCACCTTGGAAATCCTATACAAGGTAGCAGTGAGTCTGAACTGACTAGAAGGTCCTAGTCAACAACAATCAGGAACAGAATAAACAGAACGCTAGGTCACCTCCGTAGTGTACCACTGTCACACTCTGATGCATTTGTGATAATCCTCAATCCTTAAACACTACACTGTATTCAGGATTTCGTGACTGGAAAAGTAGGCAAGTACATGATAGAAACCTATTATAAGAGAAAATCCTATCTAAAATGACTGGAGTCCTGGTGTAACGGTGTAGGATAAGCACTGGACTACAAGGTCGCTGTGAATTGCAAAGTCAGCAGTTCAAAACCCCTAGACATTCCTTGGAAACCGTAGACAGGGTCAATGTGAGTCAGCACGAATTTGACGGTACTTAAACAACAACCACCTGCTTTTACTACTTCCCTGTTTTGAAAAGCCAGCAAACTTCAGTTTCTAAAATTTGTACAGACATAAAACAAAACCATTTCTGATGTTGCCATAAAAAATTAAGGCCTAGCTAGTAGAGAAATGTATTTTGGGAAAATGAGTACTACTGATAAGCCTTGTTGTAAAAAAACTGAGGGAGGGGGAAATTGCTTTACAGACCACAACAGCAAGGAGAACTGAAAACCAACCGAGACATTAGCATCACCTTAATAGAGTCCTGGTGTGGCGCTGTGCTGTTAATGCGCCAGACCACAAAGCTGTTTGAACTGCAAGGTCGGCAGTTCAAGCTCACCAGCTGCTCCTCGGAAACCCTACACAGGGTCGCTATGGGTCAGAACCAACTCAACGGCACTTCACAACAACAACACAGGGTTTTCAATAAGGGACTAGTGGATTTGAACTGCCAAGCTTATGGTTAGCAGTCTAGGGCTTATCCTACAATGCCAAAAAGAAGATGTGTAATACGTGAATTATTTATGTGTTAAAATAAAAATACCTTTAATACCAAACCAACTTCTTTATTTTCATCAGTATATGGAGGTTTCCAAAGTTGAATTCTGTCTTCCCTTAAAAACTGGGTTAATTTTGCTTGGAGATATTTCTTTTGCGCCATCCTTGAAAGCAAAATAGTATAACAATGAAATATCACAATGCATTTCAAAGTGTCTCATATATTACCTAACATGTGGAGGTCATTTTGTAAAATAAGCATAGCTCTCTCTCCAATTTAACCTAAATTATCCATCATCCTCAAGTTAATGCTAACCCACAGAGACCATGTAGGGAAGAGCAGAGCTGTTCCCCAGGATTTCTAAGGCTGTCATTTTGCTAAAGCACACGGCCACATCTTTCTACCTTACAGCAGCTGGGCAATTAGCAGCCAAGCGCTTAACCACTGTGCTACCAGGGCTCCTTTAACCAAAGATACTAAGGTTTTAATAGGCTTCAAACTGCTCCTTAAAAATACACACACACACACACACTTCAAAATTACTAGTATGTAGCAAGGTTTAATAAGCTTTTCTATTTCTTAACCTATTCTTTAAGCTGACAACTGAAATTTAGGTTTTAAGCACTATACTGCACAATAACTCATGAGTGTGAACTTTTATAAGCAAATCAACATAGAGCTCAATTCTTTTGTAATTGAATACAAAACAACAGGTCAACCACTCTGGTAATTAAAATTTTAAAAGGTTTATCTTGAACTGTGATCAATACTAAGTATTCTTAACATTTTTCTTTAAAAAAGTTTTGCATATTTTGTGATAACAGCATAATAAAACATCTACATAAGTTAATTCAATTCTAACATTCTTAAGGTCATTTTACAGCTGAGAAAACAGATTCCAGGTTTGTAAAATGACTTGGCCAAGGTCACAAAATTAGGCAGTCTTAACTATCACTGGAACTTTTGCCCACAACACTGGACTCTGCATGTTGGAAGTCAACATGTTTTGCTAATAGTAACATTCTACCAAAGAGCCACTTGCCCTCAGTATAGGTGTCCATTTATAGCTCACTAAAAGGGCAATTCAGTAGTGTGTGTAGCTAATGAGGAAACAGCTAACAAGTGTCCTATAGTGTTCTAAGGTTTCCTAAGATCAGGCAAGCTGTAAGTAAAAAGTTATTACTGAATGAGAGGAAGAAGGAATAGAGTTATTGTTTAAAGGGCACCGAGTTTTCTATTTGGGGTGATGAGAAACTTTTGTAATTACATAGCAGTGAAGGTTATATAACATGGTGGTAGTGGTGGTGGTTGTGTGCTGTGGAGTCGGTTCCAACTCATAGTGACCCTGTGTAGGGTTTCCAAAGCTGTAAAATAATGGGAGCAGAAAGCCTCATCTTTCTCCAGCGAAACAGCTGAAAGTTTACAACTGCTGATCTGAAATACTATTTGAAAATGGTTAAAACGTCAAACTTTTGTTATACATATTATTTTGTTTTGTTTTGTTTCAACTGAGGGTCATTATTCCTCCCTTGCAAAATCCAATCACCTGATTTTGAGATCAAGTCAAGTTACCTTAAAATTAACACCTTTTAAAAATAAAATTCAAAACTGGTTTATGCCAGTTTGACAAAGTGGTTAAGGCACTTGGCTGCTAACAGAAAAGTTGGCAGTTCAAGCCCACCAGCCACACCACAGGAGAAAGATGTGTCTATCTGCTTCAATAAAGACTGTTGTTGGTAACTGCCGTGAGGTTGGTTCCATTTCATAGCCTTGGAAATCCCATGGAGCAGTTCTACTGTGTCCTATAAAGTTGTTATGTGTCAGAATTGACTCAATGGCAGTGAATTTGTTTTTTGGTTTGGGAAAACAGCTTCTGTCACAGTACATTCAAGAACAAAATACTGAGCACTGAGCAATAATGTTCCTTAGTCAAAAATGCTCAGATTCAGAATGAACCATCACAGCAACCCCACTGAGGGAAAGAATATCATGGAGTCAAGACTTAGGGTAGGTTGAACTCAGTCCTCCCAGAACCAGCCCATCCAAGCCACCAGCAGACCAAAGGCAAACCTACTGGTCCACACACCCGGGCTAAGCAACAGCTGCACAAGATAATTCTAACTAAGTTATACCACTCTCTGAAACTTACAAAACTTCACTTATAAATATCAGAACAACCCACAACGCAAATTTTAAATAAACGAGAAAGAAACATACTTAAGAGACCAGTTTTCTATGGTAATTGGTAACTGAGAAAGCTGGTTTCATGCATGCCAAAGAGTGTTTCGTTGCCAAGCACAAAAGCTGAAAGTAATTTACTCCTTCAAACTGAAAGTGAAACGTTCAAACCACTCCTTTAAAAGTTTCTTCCATTTTGTAATAAATGAATTGGCGCCATCTTTACCCTAAGTTTTTCGACTATATCTATTCAAGTGCGTTTTACGTTTTCTCTTTGAAAATAAGAGCTGCAAAATCAGATGGTCAAGATTCGAAAAATCATCAACTGCATTTACTCCCGAAACAGCCAGGAAAACCTGGTTTTGATTGCACATAAACCCCAAATGGCATACCTGGAATAATAGCGCTACGATTCAAGCGTTCTGCTACTCTCATTACATTCGTTTATGTTGTATAGCCAGCGATACATATACACTTACTTATACATTTATTTCCACAGAAGCAACACATAAAATCTTTTCTAAATGCCTCCCACCGGCTCCCCAGTCCGCGGCCTGTTCCGCCACCGCCTGCCGGGCCGGAGCAGGGTCTAGAGTGCCGGGCCCGACAGGAGCCAAGACACTGGCCATCAGCCCTCACCTGCGCCACCGCCTCGCCAGCTGCCGAGTGCCCGGATGCGGCGAGGTCGTTTGTTTTCATTCCGGGTGAAACCGACCCGGCTGCGCCGCCACCGCGCGCCCTCCGGAAGGCCGCTGGGGGGGCGGAGCTCTGGGCCAGCCGGCCTCTGGCACTTCCTAGGCCTGGGTCTCAGTCCGAGGGAAACGTACCTGGCTTTGTTTCCCCAAACAGTCTTGGAAGAGAGCCGAGTACTCTCCAAGGAAACCCTTCTCTCCGGGTGTGAAGGTCTAGACCTCGCGGTCTGCGCGCCTTCAGTATGGAATTAAAGGGTTCCCCTGACCAAGCCGCCGCAACGCTAGCCAGTCACCATGATTAGCGACCCGACTTAATTGAGGACCTCCAATTTTCAAAGCGATCCGCACCCACAGGTCCCCCATTTCTCCCATAGGCCACAGGATCTCAAGTGCTGGACAGCTGATCTTCCCAGTGTTCTAGGGTGAAATGGCCCCAAATTCAAACATACTTTATTAAGCCTTACACAAGGCAAAGACAAATCATCCTGGTGAGGGAGACCGTCAGCTAGAGGCCGTAATGGTGTCCAAAGGATTTACAGCCAAGTGGCAAATTACGGCCCAAAGAAAACAAAGGAAATCTGAAATTTTCATAAAACCATGATTGACAGCAGATTACTGTTGCAGCCAGGGAGTGGGGTTGGACTACCATTGGGATATGCACACAACAACAGATAAGAAAACTTTTCAGGATTGGTCCTGGGGGCCTTTCAACACCCAGGCTACTTGAAGATAAGCAAATGTCTCATGATCTTGTGGCTTTGGCATGCCAACATCCATGATTGTCCCACCCCGTGCCTGGCCAGGGGAATTGTAATCTACTTCCAAACACACTCTGCCTGAGGGCAAAGTAGTTGCCACGTTACTGATTAAGGGTCAGAAAGAAATCAGATGGCGGCTGAATTTGTGTCAAGACTCAAAACGGAGTTAGAGTTCCTACCGTAAATTGCAGCTGTCCACAAACCAAATTCTATGGAAGTGAAGCTCTAATGCATCAGACAACTCCTGCTAAATAGCTGGTACCCCAAATACACACTACTTAGAGCAAAGAAGCCCCTGTATTTCTCCACTTACAAGCCCACTTCCTCTCCCGTGATAGCATAGACTCATACTGCTTGCTAACCCCATCATCCCACTGCCCCCCTGCATGAGAAAACACACACACACACCCCAGGTATACACATTGTCCTTTATACTGTCCTAGTGGGAGAAATGGAGTCCTGGTGTGGTGCTGTAGGATAGTGTAAGGCAGGGAGCCTGTGAGACCAATTGAACAGTTACTAGGAAAGCAAAGAATTTGTTTAAAGGACAGACAGTCCCTTTGGCTCTCTACTATACCCTCAGTGCATTGGCCAGTGACTTGGACATACACAGTAGGTGCTCAGTAAATATTCATTGATTTTTTAGTAGTGATTATAGGGCAAAGAACTATAGTCCTATAATCCTCTAGAGAAGCCCCCTGAACAGCTATAATGGGTCCAGTTGAGGTCCAACATGTGCTACTTGACCTCTCCAAGTCTCCCTGACACAGGGAACCTAAGGGGCCTCTGTAACAAGGTATGAAATAATTCACAAATATGAAGGATTGAAAGCAGAGAGCTGTATTCACTTTCCAAGGGAGGAAAGGGGCCTAACACCAGAGAATAGTGCCGGCAAGAGAGTCAGGTGTTTTGGGCTTTTATCGGATTTTTAGGAAGAAGGGAAAAAGGGGTTGCAGACAGGTGTAATCAGAGGCAGATTAAGGATTTATTGAAAAGATTAAGTCCCTCAGGGAGGTCTTCTGGGCAGAGTATAGGGAGTTGCTCATTAGTAGGGCTGGCTGTTCTCCATTCCTGAAAAACAAGCTCTGGAAAACAGGCTGGGGTGGGGGCAGGGGTCTTATAAGAGTTTAAACACTACAGCTGAGTCCTGGCAGCCTTTTGGAGAATGAAAGCATTAAACCCAAAACCTTGCCCATTTTATAGTATGTTTTCTATAAACAGACCATAAGATCTATTTTACTTTCTTGTAAAATCTTCACTGGTTTTACCTACCAAGAATGACCTTTCCTTGCGGGTGAAAGAGAACACCAGCCCCTGGTAGGAGTTGGAACTGGAGTATTGAAGAACCACACATGTGCGACATCCCATAATAAGTTTTGTCTGCTTCTACCAGAGGCCTTTGCAGTGGAATCCATCTTGAAGAAATACTGTGCATGAACCCAATTAGCACAGCCCATTCTAAACAGGCCATTTCCCGGAAACCCCTGCCTATTCTTATGAATAAACATGATGTCTTTCCCCACCCCAAACTTTT